TCATGGAGCTGGGTTTTTATGGATGGGGCGTTGGGGGTGGACAGCATGGGATTGCTCAGTAGGGACTAGCTGGGTGGCCACAGCTATGTGGCCACCGCTGGCATAGCAGTGCTAATGTTTTCTGTGCCAGGTGCACCATGGCCTAAGAGGGCAGGGAAAGGATGTGGGAGTATTGCTTTGATGGCTTAGGCAGCTGGGAGCAGCCACTCTGGGAGCTCTGGCAGCTGGGGCAAATGGGGGTTGGACCTGGCACCCAGATCTAAGAACCCTTCCAAAATGGCAGCGATGCGGCCTTCTGTGGCAGGATAACGGGTACCCGTGTTGGAGCCCCTCACCAGCTGTTGCATGCCTTCGGGAAGGAACTTGCTTCCCCACATTGTTTTTGCGACTCACAGTGGCTGTGGCTCCGCTGGGTCCCCCTCATCTGCCAGCCCTGAGCACTGCCCTGGCCTCTGGGACCCAGGCTCTCCCACAAGCTCTCCGTAGCTTCTAGATTTCCCTTTCAGTTCCTCCCCATTCCAGGCGATCTTGTTTTTCTGCCTTTGACAATCCAATATCTGGATTCCGGATCTTGGAGAGGCTAGACTTTGGTAAAATCACCACTCCACCATTTTCTTTTTTTTTATTTTTTTCTTTTGGTGCCAGAGATCGAACTCTGGTCCTTGGGCTTGCAAAGCAGGCAGCGGAACCACTGAGCTAAATCCCCAGCCCACTCCACCATTTTCTTCTCTCAGCACTAGTAATATGTAAGTGTATATTTTGCTTGTTTGTTTGAATTTTGTTTTGTTTTTTGTTCCTGCTGGTATTTTTTTTTTTTTCTGCTGGTATTTTTAGTGATAAAAATAACCTCCTTTTCCTATGTAAGTAAAACTAAGCTGTGTGTGTGTGTGTGTGTGTGGTGTTGCACACCTATAATCCCAGCACTCAGGCGGGAGGCTGAGGCAGGAGAATCACCACAAGTTCAAAGCCAGCCTGGGCTACACAGCAAAACCCTGTCGCAGAAAAACTAAAAGTAAATAAATAAATGAATAATAAACCAATAATTACTTTGGAAATGAATATATAAAATGTTCCAAATGCTCTGTTTCTTTTTCAGTTAATGCACGAGAGAATGATATAATGAAAAATTTGCTCAAAACTGTGTGCAAAATGCTGGGTGTGGTAGTACACACCTGTAATCCCAGCACTCAGGAGGCTGAGGCAGGAAGATCACTGTAAGTTTGAGGCCAACCTGGGCTACATAGTGAGTTCAAGACCAGCCTGAACCATAGAAGTGAGACCCTGTTGCAAAAAACAAAACAAAACTACATGCACAAAAAATACCTGTACTCAGTGTCCACACTGCTTTCTCTTCCAAGGGTCTAGACTCATGTCTCTATTGACAGCTCCATTTATTTTTTGTTCCTAATCAAACTTACTGAGATATTAATTTATGTACAGTTGTGGTGGTTGTGAGTGTGTGTTGCTGGAGATTGACTGCAGTCCTGAGACATGCTAGGCAAGTACTCTAGCGCTGTGAGCTCTGCACTTCACCTACGACATCAGCGTGAACCATCTGAGGAGCGTGACACGTGTGCACACCGTGAACCACCTTGTTCTCAAGATGCAGGACATTTCCAGCACCTCCAGAAGCCTCACAGCGCCCCTTTGCAGCCTGTCTCCCCCTCTGCTGCCCACTCCAGGCAGCCACTCTCTGCCCTGGGGAACTGTAAGTTAATGTGCATCTCTGAAATGGTTTATAACTGGAGTCATATAACAAGCACTTGTGTTTGGTCTGGCTTCTCATCTAGCCCTTTCTAGTGCTGAGAAATAGTTCTCTGTATGAATATATTTCACTTTGTTTATCCACTAACCTGTTGATTTGGGTTATTTCTGCTTTGAGGATATTATGAATAAAGCTGCTATGAATATATATATACACCTATGTCTTTATGTAGATTGTTTTCATCACTTCTGGATAAATATCTAGTAGTAGAATAATTGGATCATACAGTAAGTATTCAGCTTTTTCAGGAACTGCCAGAGCATTTTACATTCCCAACAGCAGTGTATGACTCTCCCATTGCTCTACTTCTGTAAAAGTAGGGAAACACTGATGTTGTCATGTTACCACAGTGACAGCAGCTACCTGTGGTGGACGGGCAGGAGGCCTGCGTGGCCCCTGCCTCCTGATGTGCATGCTTTGTGTGACCCCAACTTGCAAGTGTGGACAGAATCTGTGAGGTGCACCTGATTGCTAGTGTGTGCACAAGTGATGGGAGTTACATGACTGTTGCCTGAGACTGTAAGTCTGTCTTGCTGGGTCTCTCTCCCTTGCTGGCCGTGAGGAGGAAGCGGCCGTGTTGAAGAACTCTAAGTCCAAGGAACTGCAGGCACCATGTAGTCACCAGGGGCTGAGCTTCCAGCTGACAGGGAAAAAGAAGAGAAGCAGGGGAATGGGAGGGGTGGAGGAGGAAGAAGCTCTTGGTTCGACACCCAAAGAGAACTGAATGTCAGTTATTGGGTGTGTGAGGTAGTAGGCCCGGCCCTGATGGAATCTCCAGAACCCAGCCCTGGCCTACACCTTACAGCAGCCTTGGGAGACTGAAGGCCCAAAAGTCTGGGCTGGATCCCTAATCCACACAAACAAGGCAATCAACAAGGAAGTTGAATTCCTGCTAGTTTAATTGCTCTTGTTGCTGAATTTATTTTGTTTCCCCATCACATGTAACCAAATAGGTCTCAGAGTAAGGTCCTTAGACTCAGGCCTTGTACAAGGTAACCAGGCCTAGATCTTTGTATTAAGTAATTAGACCTCTTGGTTTGGAGATACATTGTTTCATTATTAAATCTTGATCTTTGTATAGGGTTATTAGATTTTTCTGTTTTGTAAGTATACTTTTTTGTTTGTTTGTTTTTGGAGACAATGTCTCACTATGTCATTCAGGGTGGCCTTGAACTCACTGTGTAGACCAGACTGGCCTTGAACTCGTGGTGATCCTTCTGCCTCAGCCTCCTGAGTGCTGGGATTACAGGTGTGTGCCGCCACGCCTGGCACAAGTATACTTTTTTTTTTGGTACCAGGGACTGAACTCAGGACCTTGTGCTTGCAAGGCAGGTGGTGGAATCACTGAGCTAAATCCCCGGACCACAAGTATACTTTTTGATAAGTATTTTTGCCATTAATCTGATTATTCTCCTGCTGCTTGTCTTTTTCTATTGGTTCTTATACTAATTTATGTTTCAAAGGAGCTTTTGCTAGAATTATCTTGTTTTGTTTTTTGAATGTATAAGGGAGTATTCCATAAAGAATGACAGAATCATATGCATAATAGTCTCCAATTCAATTCGTGCTGACAGTCGAAGGAAGGTCTATGAGGAGAAGTGTTACCCTACAGTCCTAATGGCACCACGTGGAGCAAATCCCTTTCGTTAAAGGCAGCTACCCAACATTTTCTTACTTATTATGACTTATTGATATTTTTTTTCTCATATTATCATCTAGTGGTGTAACTGTATTCCAAAACTCTTCTTCACCCAGTGAAGAAGAATTTCTAGAGTCTCTAATCTAGTTTCTAGTTTCTATAATTCAAAAAATGTCCATGACCCAAGAGGCATGGGGGCAGTGATCAAAGTGTGTTGTGTGCACTGTGAGCAGGTGCACAGGTGCAGGAAGAGGGTCTGAACAATTTGACTTCTGGCAAGGGAGTCACATCCCACCAGAACAGAGCTCTTGGACACACCAGTGCCAAATTGTGACCTCAGTAGTGCTTACTGACTGGTCCCTTAGGAAATATAAAAAGTGACAATATGAGGCTTGATAGAGGTAGTCCATTCTTACAGAATCAATTCCTTACCAGAAGTCAAATTGTTCAAATTATTTAACTAGGGTATATTAACACAGAGAAAAAAGTAAATACACTACCTAAGAGCCGGTATGCTTTTAAAATAATTTCTTTAAAGGGCCAGGGATGTAGCTCAGTGGCACTGCTCCTGCCTTGCAAGTGCAAGGTCCTGAGTTTGATCCCTGGTACAGGGGAAAAGCAATAATAATAATGATTTCTTTAAAAACTGTTAGCTGGGTGTAGGGGCGCACACTGGTGATCCCAGCCCTCGGGAGGCCGAGGCAGGAGGGTCACAGGTGCAAGCCTAGCTGTAGCAATTTAGTGAGATCCTGTCTCAAATAAAAAATAAAAGGGCTGGGGAAGGGGCTCAGTGAAAGCGCCCTTGCCCACCACGCACAAGGCCGTAAGTCCAATCCCCAACACTGCAAAATAAATAAAAACTAAGTTTAAAAAGATACATTTTATGTTATGTGTATTTTAACATAAGAAAGGCAATCTAAAAATAATTAACTTGGGCCGGGGATTTAGCTCAATGGTGCCACCGCCTGCCTTGCAAGCGCAAGGTCCCAAGTTCGATCACCAGTACCAAAAAAAAATAATAATAATAATTAACTCACTCAAGGTTATAGAGCTAGAAAGTGGTGAGCGAAAACGTGACTTCACACCTCTCTGACTCAGGCCTGCCCTCCCCACACCTGGCCACCAACCACTGTCCCAGAAAGAGCAGCTCCCCAGCCAGGGCTAGGACATCTGCGTTCCTGCATTCGTTCTCACTGTTCTCACCGGCACTGTCTTGTGTGAACTTACGTAATCTGACCTCGGCAGGCCTTTCCTCGGCCAGGTGTTAAATGATGACACTGTGCAGCACTGCTGACAGGCCCTGCTAGTTATCCCTGCTGACATCGTTATCTGTCCCATGGAAGCCTCGAGCCTGGATTGCTGACCCAGAAGCCATCTGCCGCTGGCTCACTCGGCCCTTCAGGGAGGAGACCAGCTGTCCGGGCTTATCCAGCTCCTCCTCCAAGGGATGCCTTGGGCTCGGGCCAGCCCTTGAAGAGGCCTCCATGCCCCCCTCCTGGTTCTGGGATGGGGTCATGCCGGGCTCAGCTCCAAGACAAACTTTCACAAGCCAAAAGATAACCCAATATCGAGGCGAAGATCAGCCTTTAAAAGGTCTCTTTTTCTCCTTGTGCTCCATCCTGCTGTGGTGCTCCTACCTCACAGCTGTCTGTCCTGCCTGCTGACACCCAGCCACCATGTGGGAGTTTGTGGCTTTCTTGGGGCTCATCCTAGCCTGTTTCTTTTGGCTCAGACAAAGGTCTCCTGGTGCCAACTACCCAAAGAGCCTCCCATCTCTGCCCATAGTGGGTAGCCTGCCATTCTTTCCCAGAAGCGGCCACATGCACATCAAACTATTCAAGCTGCAGAAAAAATATGGCCCCATCTATTCCTTCCGTATGGGCTCCAGAACTACAGTGGTCATCGGCCACCACCAGCTGGCCAGGGAGATGCTTGTCAAGAAGGGGAAGGAATTCTGCGGACGGCCCCTGTCACTGGTAAGCATCCCATCTTCCCTCCCCTCCTACCGCACCAGCCTGCAGACAAAGCAGGAAGAGTGAACGGAAGGCCTAGGGGCCGGGGAGCCCTACCCCACTCACCTCACCCTTGAACTGGATGAAAAGCTCTCTGGGTCTCAATGGAGAAGCTGTGGAGAAACCACATAGCCCTGGGCCCACAGGAGTGTTCAATGCAGAACCAGTGCAAATGTTGCTCTTCATGAAAAATGGGGGCAGAGGTTACTTCCTCATGGGAAGGGGCCAGGGAGAAGCATCCATGCTCTTGGCAGGCTGGGATGGCTATTTGCCCAGAACTGTCCCCATGGCTCGTAGGGGGGCTCCAGTGGCATCTGGGGGCTTGCTATTGGGTAGCCATCCCAGACACACAACCACAATCCCACCCTGCACCCTGCTGCAGAGTCCTCCCCTGCACATCCAGTCAGGACCCCCAGCCTCTCAGCTCTCATCAGACTAAGGCTGACTGCTTCTCCTTGAACCAGTCAGCCAGAGGGGCTGGCCAGCTTACCTCTTGCTGCTTCCTCTCAGGAAGCTAGCCTGTGGGTTAGAAGGTGGACAGGAGAGACTTGGGGTCTGTTGTTGCCGCTGTTCCTCCGGGAGGAGGCACCGTGGCCCAAATCCAGCTTGGGTATGCAGAAAGAGAGCACTCTCCAGTCAGGGCCTGTGGGTGGGCGTGCAGCTATGCAAGGAAAAGCGAGCAGCAGTGAGACAAGCTGAGCCTTTAGTAGCACTTGGAGTCAGTAAGGTAGAGAGGTCTGGGCAGCCTTCGGTCTCACAGCTTGCCTGTTCCTTGACCTCAGAACTGGCATAGTTCAGAGAGCATATCCCATCCACTCTGGCTCCATCCTAGTCAGAAACTGGAAGAGGCGTGTAGAGGTCACCCCACCAGTGAACGAACCCAGAACTCCCGAGTTCTTGCTCAAGGTTCTACTGTCTGTCCTGGAATCAGGAGTAGGGGCCTTAGGGCCTGTCCAACCACGATCTTCTAGTCCAGGCAGAATGGACCAGGGGTGTCCCCACATGGGGGTCAGCATGGCAGCCACCTGCCTTCTCCCCAGGAAGAGGAAGGGGCTCAGGAGGCCCAGGACAAGTGGGTGGATGGGTGGGGGGGGGGCGATTCCTACAGCCTTGCCTACTCTCCAAAGATGAGTTTAGACCTCATGTCAGACAAAGGGAAGGGCATCGCCTTCGCTGACTTCAGTGCCACGTGGCAGCTGCACCGGAAGCTGGTACTAAGCACCTTTTCCCTGTTCAGGGATGGCAACCTGAAGCTGGAGAACATCAGTAAGTTCTGGGGCTGGACGGTGGAGCCAGGGCTGGACAGGGAGGGACCTGGAGGCTTGTGGAGGGCTCGGTCCAGCCTTTCCTGGGGACTGCTGCCATCTCATGGCCGCCTGGGATCCGGCTAAGATGCTGGCAGAGGGGCCAAGGTTGCTGCCTCGCACCCCATCTCCCACCCCTCTCTCCTCAGTATGTCGGGAGGTTGGCGCATGGTGTGACTTTCTGGCCACCCTCAATGGACAGGACATAGATTTGTCCTTGTCAGTCTTCACAGCGATCATCAACATCATCTGCACGATTTGCTTCAATATCTCCTACAAGGATGGGGACCCCGAGTTGGTGGCCATAAGGAGCTTCACTAAAGGTTTCGTGGAGAACGTGAGCGAGAGCAATCTGATGGACATACTCCCCTGGGGGAAGGTGAGGATGCGGCCAGCCTCACACAGGTGGACAGTGTCCCCAGCTCTTCCTCCTTTGGTGGCCCAGCTCTAGACCCGCGTTTTTTCCTAAGCACCTCAGCCACAGTGATCTCTCCCTCCTCTGCCTCTTTACAAAAATAGCTCTGGCTTTCTAATTGTGCATCTCAGTACTTGTGACAGTCACTCACTTGTTTCTCGACTGCCGTGTGGCAGAATTCAGCATTCTGTATGATTCATCATTTGATTCCTGTCAGAGGCGTGTGGCCCTATCACCACTGTGCACACGGGAAAACAGACTCAAGCAGGTTAAGCAGCTTGCTCGGCTTCAGACTCATATATCACTTATTTTATTTTATTTTTTTGGTTGTAGTAGTGATTGAACCCGGTACCTTCACACTGAACTACATCCCCAGCCTATCTATCTATCTATCTATCTATCTATCTATTTATTTTGGTATTGGGGATCTAATTCGGGTCCTTGAGCTTGGGCAGCAGGAGGTGAAACCACTGAGCTAAATCCCCGGCCCCAGCCTATTTATTTAAAGATAGGGTCTCACTAAATCACCAAATTGCATGAGCTGAGCTTGAACTTCCAGTCTTCCTGCCTCAGCCTCCCAGGTTCGGGGGGATTACAGGCATGCCCACTCTATCAGCTGACGTTTTACCTTTACACAGCAGAGTGAGGTCTTGATGTGTGACTGAATGGGCGGGGCAAGGGAAACACCCTTGCTTGGAGTTGTCCAAGTTGCCCCTCCCTAATGACCCCGTGTTCTGTCCCCAACTTGCTTCCATTGCGGCTCAAGGGGAGGTTGGGGTGGGAGCTGTCTTGAGACAGAGAGCTCGGCTCAGCCTCTGGGAGAGGTTCTCACACCTGAAAGAGAGAAGTGGAAGAGGGGTGGATCTGACATTTCTTTTTTCTCCCCAGATTTTCCCCAATAAAACCATAAAAATGATAAGGAAATATCTTAAAATTCGAGATGTAATGCTGAAGAAGAAACTGAAAGAGCACATGGTAGGTGACAGAGCAGACCAAAGCCAGGGAGGCTGACAGTGGCCCAGGTGCAGGTGGAGGGCAGGAGCCCCGCAGCTAACAGGTGGAGAATGCGCAGGACGGAGACCAGCCTAACTAATGAGCAGGGAGGTGGGGACTGAAGGGTCAGAGAAGGCACACATGCACCCCCACAGTTAAAGAGGGCCCAGGTTACCTCCTCCCTCCACAAGCTTCAGGTCCTGCCCAGCCCACCCCACTTTGCTAGTATAGGATGGAAACAGGGCAGGAAGGTTGCAGCAGGGTCTTCTCTTCACTTCCCTAACCCAGGAGAAATTCAGAAGTGACTCTGTCACCAGCCTGACAGACCTCCTGATCCAGGCCAAGATGAATGCAGACAATAACAATTACGGCCTACAAGAGGATTCAAACATGTTTTCAGATAGACACATTATCACCATCTTGGGGGACGTCTTCGGGGCCGGTGTGGAGACCTCTGCTTCCGTCGTGAGTTGGATGGTAGCCTTGCTGATGCACAACCCTCGGGTGAGCTGCCTCGCTGCCTGGCTTCCCGTCCACCTCAGACCCAGCCGTCAACCCCAGTCTGGAGGGAGGGAGAGGCGGGCCTCGTGGGAGGCGCTGGGCATGCACTTCCGGTGCGGCCCTCGGCGTCCGGGCAGGCCAGGCTTCCCTCGGGCTTACCCACGGATTCCATGAACCTTGGTCTGGCCCTCAGGTGAAGAAGAAGATCCAGGAGGAGATTGACCAGAACGTGGGCTTCAGTCGTACCCCGACCTTCAGTGACCGGAACCAGCTCCTCATGCTGGAGGCCACCATCCGAGAGGTCCTCCGCATCCGGCCAGTGGCCCCGGTGCTCATCCCGCACAAGGCTCTGTCCGACTCCAGGTACTTTCTCTAGGGACTGCCAGGGTGCTTGGCAGCCCGGCTGGCCCCATCCAGGTCCCGATGAGCACACCACTGCGGTCAGGCGTGTACGCACCCTGGGTCCCGCGCTCGGCGCTCCCGCCCGCAGCAGCACTGCACATGCGCACACGGCGGCCGCCCGCCCGGCAGCCCCGCCAGGGCCCGGGGCTTGTCCAGGGCGGCTGCGTGCGGACTGACCGGCCGCAGCTGGGAAGGAGAGGAGCTGGGGGGGTCGAGAGTCCCTCCCCGGAGGGGCCAGCGGGAAGAGGGCACTCGTCCTAGACCCTCGTCCCTCTCCTCTCCGGGCAGCCTCGGGGAGTTCGCCATTGACAAGGGCACAAACGTGGTTGTCAACCTGTGGGCTCTGCATCATGATGAGGAGGAGTGGGACCGACCGGACCAGTTCCTGCCAGGTGAGTCTGCTCCTGAGCGGCCTGGAGACCCCGCCCCCGCCCCCGTCCGGCCTCTCCACCGCCGCGCCCCCTGCAGCCGCGTCCGGGCTGGGCTGACGCCCGCCTTCCCCCAGAGCGCTTCCTGGACGCGGCCGGGAGCCAGCTGGTCACGCCGCCGTCCGGCTACCTGCCCTTCGGGGCTGGGGCGCGCTCCTGCATCGGGGAGGCGCTGGCCCGCCAGGAGATCTTCCTCATCATGGCCTGGCTGCTGCAGAGGTTCGACCTCGAAGCGCCGGACGACGGGCAGCTGCCCGCCCTGGAGGGCGTCCCCAAGATGGTCTTTCTCATCGAGCCCTTCAGAGTGAAGCTCAGGGTGCGCCAGGGCTGGAGGGAGACCTGGGCTGAGGGAAGCGCCTAGAAGCGGTGGCTGCCAGCCCAGGCCCGCACCGCGGCTCCCACTGCGGGCGTCGTCCTCGCCCACCCTCCTGCCTCCCTGTCCAGCCCGCAGGCGATGCTATAAACGGAGCAGGTTTCTCTAGCGCCCGCCTAGCAGCTCCTTCATTGATTCACTCACTCACTCACTCACTCCCTGTCTCACTCGATCGACGAACACTTCGCTGAGCACGTGTCACGTGCTGGTGCTGTCCCCCGCCAGGACCCACAGGCCGGTCCTGTGACGCGCGCAGTGTACCGAGGGCTGACATAAGAATTCCAGGCCTCTGAGGGCTTTGAGAGTGGCAGGCGTGGAGAACGGCCGGGGCGAAGGTGGCGGGGATGTATCCCCGCCGAGGGAGAGGAGCAGAATCTCAGGCTGGGAAAGGGGCAGCTGCAGTGGGGCAACGGAGTGGGAGGAAGGCGACCCGCCGGCCTCCCTCTGTCTGCTCGTGCTTGGGAACCCTGTTTGCTGGTGGAGAATGGGCTCTGGAGCGCAGGATGAGATGGGAACCGCAAGGGCAGCAGGAAGGTGACAGGCGGCTTCAGACGTTGGGTTTACAGTCAGAAACAGCTACAGATCTTGTTCGCTTCGATCCAAACAGACCACAGTGCAGCTCCTCAGGGGCTTGCTTTGGGTCTGTGCAGCCCGCAGACTGGCGCCGTCTTGGTTCTCCCCCTTCCTGCCTTGGGGTAAACACTGCCAAGCCTGCTGCCGCAGGGCCGGGTCCTGCCCCTTCTCCCCTCGCACAAACCCAGGAAGCCTGAAAGAACTACTCGCTGGAACGTGGAGCCCGGCTCCTTTAAATCTGAAAGTAGCATCTCTAACGGAACAGACAGACCAGGCTTAGGTCGTCCCCGCTCTGACTAGACAGAAGGTTCTGGAAGGGCCAGCAGGGCAAGTCACGGTTCCCCCTGGCTGTTTTCTGAGGAAGAAAACCAAGGGAGCCCCAAGAACAAGGGCAAAGGCTTCAATTATAGCGGCACCTTCCTCCTTGAAGAGCGTTGGTGACGGCAGTGGCAGCAGACTGTTTGCTGCTCTCCCGGCTTCAGCCGAGCCTTGCGCCTGTCCTGGGCGTCATGACAGGACTCTCAGGCTGCTTGGCTGGGAAGAGCGTCTTTCTGAAAAGTGGTGTCTTTTCAGAAAATAATCTCACGAGGTCTGACTTCTGCCCTTGATGGAAGGGCTTGTCCCCACCAATCCACATCAGCACACCCACACCCCCTTGAGGCGCCAAGTGAATGCCCCCTCGACACACCCAGGTCTCCGGCCCACTGCGGCTTCCCCTTAGCCCTCAACTCTTGTGTGTGGTGCTGCGCCCCATGTGCGTGGCCTCCAGAAGGCTGTGGTGTACCAGGACAAGGTCGCTGTTTCTGGAGTTCGTGACTGAGCCTCCTCGTTGCTTCATCCTGCAGAGAGGCGTCTCAAGTAGGACTTAGCCAGACTCCCTGCCACTGGCTCACTGACCCCACAATGAGTAAATAAACTGCATCCAGGGAGCCCAGGCATCTGGCAAAGCTGCAAGGTCTTTGCCAAGGCGCCCATCACTGTGGTGGCCTCCGTAACCAGCAGAGTAGTGGCGAATAAACGTGCAGCTCTCTGGGTGGCACCCTGACCTGTTCGCCAGCAGCCACTGGTGCGATGTCACTGAATGGCTAGCAGGGAGGCAGCAGTCTGTGCCCTGTGTCACGCCGAGCATGGCACACTCAGCACTGTGCAGGCTGTCTCCTCTTGTGTGCCTCTCGTGGACTGGGCTTCCACAAACCTGGGTGAGATTGTCTCCCGCACACCTGGGCTGCAGGTGGGCCGCTGTGACACGGGTCTGTGTGGAGACAGGTCTGCTTTCTCCGGCATCACCAGTGAGAAGCGCACTGTGCCGCACCAGGAGGAGATGAGAACTTCAGCTCCATTATAATCTGGGACCGCCAGTGAACACACGGTGTCAGGCTCTGCTGTGGGCACTGCCGGCATGGAGGAGGTCTCACTGCACAATTATTTCCATCAGGCTGACACATAACCCCTTCAAAGGCTGAGCAACACGTAGTGAGGTAATTTTAAAGTGATGTTCCAGGGCCGGGGATTTAGCTCTGTGGTTCCGGCGCCTGCCTCACAAGTGCAAGGTCCTGAGTTCGATCCCGGGTACAAAAAAAAAAAAAAAAAAGATGTTCCACATACTTATTGCCTTTGTTTCTAATATATTCAATCAAGGTTTGTAAGATTTGGTTATTGGTGGTTTGATAAGCAGCTCATCAAATTCCTGAACATTTAATAATCAGTTCTAGCCAGCCGTGGTGTCGCACGACTGTAACCCCAGCACTCAGGAGGCTGAGGCAGGAGGATCACTGTGAGTTCAAGGGCAGCCTAAGGTACATAGCGAGCACAATGATTTCAAGGCCAGGCTGTAGCGTATTGAGACCTTAAGCTAGAAGAGCCACCCCTCCCAGGAGAAACGGACTATCCCTGTCCTTGGGAGCAACAGCTCCCACACATCCCTGCGCAGGGTCCTTCCCCAGTGACCTGGGTGTGTTCCTGTCAGCCTCAGGTGGCCACGAAGCTGAGGCCAGGGGGCCCCTATCTGCAGTCCCACAGATATGTGCCCCCCCCCGCAGGGCGGGTCCAGTCAGCAGAGTGGGGTGACGCTGGACAAGGAGGACCAGGGCCCCGGCCTCAGCCCTGCTGCTAATTCCCAACCTGTGTCTCCATTTGTAAAGAGGGGTCACTTAGGTGAGAGCTGCTTGTTCACTGCCAGAGGCTGTGGAGGCGTCATTTACTGAGTGACTGTGGGCATCTACCTGGCCTTTTTCTGTGTGTGTGGTACTGGGGATTGAACCCAGCGCCTTCATACTGATCTGTGTAAGTCCCCAGCCCTTGAGACTGGTTCTCACTAAGTTGCCCTGGTTGGGCTCAAACTTGCACTTCTGCCTCAGCCTCCCAGGGTGCTACACTTGCAGGCTACAGGCATCCACCACACCTGCCTACTTGGGTTGCTTAAATTTCAATTTTCAGCTGTGTATGGTGGCACACACCGAGGAGGCCAAGGCAAGAGAATCACTGTGAGTTCGAGGCCAGCCTGAGGTACATAGTTCAAGGCCAGCCTGAAGTACACGGTGAGACCCTGTCTCAAAACAAAAACTAAGTTTTCCTACCTGTAATACTGGGGTATAGTACCAGGGTGCTGGGGTTTGTGTAGATATGAGAATCAAACACTGTATGAATCCAACATGTTTGGTGCCTTAATATTGACTTTACCATCAATTTATCACTCAAATCCAAAAAATAATTCCTTCTCTGAGGGTTCTACACAAACTTCCAAAAAACTAGCTTGGTCAGGAGTGGAAGGAGGTCCATGCAGAGAGGTCCTCCCTGCGGGGGGACCTTCAGGGCTGGGCAGTGGTGGAGTGCCCAAGGGCACAGCTTGGCACGGCTGTCACAGAGGGTGTTTTATAACATTCTCCAGCAGGACTGGTTTTCTTGAGTCTTGGGGACAAAACATGAAATGGCAGAATATTGAACTGTGGTGAGAATGAGAAATTTCACATCTAACAAAAATCAGTTCCCCCTCAGACACACAGGAAGCTCTGGTTTTTTCCTTCTGCTGTGAGGAAAGCTCTATTTTTATCTCCTCTGAGGAAGAGCAAAAGACTCTTAAGGAAAAACACAAAGAAGTTCCAAACAGCCCTAACCTGAGCAGGACAGGCGTCCCAGGTGCCCCTCCGTGCGGAAGTGAGCCTTAGCTCTGCTGTGCGCCCCTTCCGGGCGGCCTGGATAGTTGTGGAGCCCATGAGGTGACGTAGCCTATGGGGGAGCCGGAGGAGCCAAAAGCAGCTCCGGAGGAAATGGTGTCCGCCGCCACGGTGCCCCTGGGCTCCCACTCTTCCCTCGGCCCTCAGCCCGGCCTACTTATGGCTACTGTTTACTGCCTGGCCTCTGGGACCCAGAGACCTAGCTGTGAACCCTGGCTCTGCTGCCTGCCAGCTGTGCTGTGGTGGGTTGTGAGTTCAATCCTGGCCGCCTCCCTCAGAACCACTGAAGCAGCGGAAGGTGAGAAACTGCACTTACTGAGGCTTGGCTTGGCTTGGCTTGTGTAAACATCAGTAAGGAATACAATAATGACCAATTAAGTTAAAACCTTTTTATAGCCCACTTACCTGTCCAGCTCCATCGCAGCCAGCACCTAGAAAGATTTGACTGCCTGCTGCTTTCCACACCATACACAAGGTCTCCAGTTTTAGGCTTCCCAAGCATTTTTGTGCTTTTCAGCACCTGGCACACAGTAGACGGTCAATAGTCTGCAGAGGAAACATTTGCCTAGCATTCCCTTCGAACCTGTCTTCACTGGGCAAGTGCAGAGTTACCTCCTCCAGGGAGCCTGCTCGGATCTCAGCGGGGCTGGGTGTGTCCAGACGGCACCCCGTGCGTGGCTTCGTGGTGCTGACAGTGCCGTAAGCCTTTCTCTCCAGACCACAGGTAGCTCTGAAGAGGAGCCAGGCCTAAGGGTCTTTGCATTCCCAGTGCCTCCCACAACAGTGCTCCATAAAGGCTCGAGCTCAGGGCGGTGTCATCTGTCCCCCAGCCGGACCCTGAAACCCAGCCTCCGAGACCTCAGACTTTCCCGCCAGGGTCAGCCATGCCCACATCCCTGCCTGCGTCAAACCTTGGGTTTTGCTTCTTGGTTGAACATGAAACGAGAATGGGGAGTTTCCTGACACTCTTGTTCATCCTACAGGGCACTGGTAAGGTCTCCCTGGAACTTGGTCGCTTGGGGCAGCAGACAACCAGTTGTCACTTGTGAGAAATGAGCTCAGTGATCCAGGAGCCTGGGCATCAAGGGACACGCACAGCCTCTGGAAACACTCTGTAAGCGCCTCCCATTCAGACATTAGCTTTTACAAGGGTGGGAATGGGGCTGGGGATTTAGTTCAGTGGCACCCTGCCTTGCAAGTGCAAGGTCCTGAGTTGATCCCTGTTATCAAAAAATAAATAAAACAAAAAGGTAGGAATGAGCCCTGCACGGGAGAACACGCCTGTAATCCCAGCCTTCTGGGAGGCTGAGGCAGGAGGATGACAAGTTTGACCCCCAACCTGAGCAACTTAGACCCTGTCAAAAAAAAAAAAAAAAAAAAGCCATGGATATAACTCAGTGCAAAGGTCCTGGATTCAACTGTTAGCACTGTAAAAAGGAGGGAGGGAGGGGAGGAATGATGCACACCTTCATTCTCTCCTGTGGTTCCAGAACAGAACCACCCCTAGATGGTACATGCTCCACTGCGGTCACCGGGAGCCCGGCAGGAGTGAAGCAGCCACCTGTCAAGACCCCACCAGCCCAGGGGCGAAGATGCGGCCAAGGCTGGTCAGGCCAACTCTGGACTGGCAAAGACACTGGGGCCGGGCACAGACCAGTCCGGGAGGGAGGGCGGTGCCCACTGCCGCACCCCAGGGACCCTGCGACTGCTGAGCCTCTGCTTGGGAAGCAGGGGCCTTTCCTGGGAGCTGCCAGGTTGTTCACTCCAGCCACCGGCAGGCAGCCCAAAGAGAAGTCGTGCCAAGGCTGTCCTCCTTCTGGGGCAGAGGTGGCTGGCCGCAGTTTCCCACTGCCTGGGCGCAGGGCCTGTGTGTACCTACCTGACTCAAGTTCTAAGCAGGGCCGTTAAGCAAGGAGGAAAAGGACAAAGGATGTCCCACTGTTCTGGTAAGGAATCAAGGTCTCAAACTACCTGCTGCTCCCCCGACCCCGGTCCCTGAGCTTCACCAAACTCCCTCTTACCTTGGGGATTAGCAACTCTCACACCGGCACCTTCCGTCTTCCTAACTCAAAGTTCTAGAGGGCTGGGCTTTGTCTCGTGTGGTTAGTTTATATTTCCTCAGCATCTAGCACAGTGCTTAGCACAAAGCAGCAACTCAATGTGCATTTTGTATATTAAATTCCAAGGCCTACCACCCATCCATATTTCTATCCTATCAGCACAGGAGACCTCTGAGTGCTCACTGCCTCTCAAACATCACGCTTCCACTGTGGGGTATCTGAACCTGGCTCTCTTCTCACCCTGTTTTCGGGGCTTCATTGGGTATTCCAAGAACCAGTTTGAGGGAAAATTCCTCAGAACAAAGTGTGGACCCTGGGGCGTGATCCAGCTTGTGGTTTCTGTCTGGGCCAAGACCCTGTTGTCAAGTGTCACTCAGTGAGTCTGTGTGGAGAAAAGTGCCAGCGATTTGGGATCTTAAGTCTGAGAAAGGAAAAAGGAGCAGAGTGCTACAAGCAAGCGCTGGAGAATTTTTGGGATTGATTTTTAATTGAGGTTCTCACAGTGGTTAGAGCCACTCTGTCTTTAGAACAATCACAGCACAGGAAATGTGTCACCAAGACTGCCCAGAAAAGTGACCAGCTGAGTCTTATTGCTTAAAATACACAGAGTCACCAGAACTGACAAGTGGTGATACGCCTCACACGGGAATGTGTCTGGCTCTGCTAATCTTCCGACTGTAGCACCGAACCTGCCACCAAATGCTCTTCTCACTGAGCTGGAAGCAAGACTCCATCACGTTGGCCCTGACTACACCTTCCGTTCCCCTTGCTCCAGCAGGCAGCCCCGAAGCAGTCCTCAGCCTTCGGGGAAAGGAACAGGGAGGGGCAGGAGTCTCCCATTTGATCAGTCAGCTGAACAGATCAGTTTTGGTAAGACTTGTTCTCCTCGGAGACACTTCACTGAGTGGTCTGGGATGGGTGGAGGAAGAAAGGTGTCTAGGCTGCTCATGGCTGGCCCTGGCCACCACCAGCCTTGCCCACGCCCCAGCCCTGGCAGTGTCTGCTGTGGCCTCCTTCCATTCTGGGCAGGCCCACATCTGGGCCACAGCTGGTCCAAGCGGCCACTGAACAAGCAAGCTTGTCTGGAAAAACACCTTTGCGTTCTGTCCCGAGGTGTGGACAACCCGACACCAGGGAGGAGGGGCAGTGGAGGGAGGTGGCAGGCTTAGGGTATAGCTCTATCAACAGGGAACAGAACACAGGCCTGAGTCCACCAAGCATGTGCAAATCGCAGTGAGGAGGAGGAGAGCGGAACCTTTCCTCCAGCGCAGCTCTCGACCACTGTGGGGCTGCTGTTGGCCGTGCTGCTGGGCACACCCAGGCAGCCAGACGTTTGTTCGGTAAACATAGATGCGTAGCATAAATTACCTTGAGAGGGCCATGTCTGCTCTGGATGTGTGTAGGGTGAGCAGAATGGCTGCCATCCAAAGTATCTTCACAGGAACACAGGGCTTAGGCTGACTGACAGACACACAGACACACACACACACACACACACACACACACACACACACACACACACACACACACACACACACGTCATCCAAAAAGTCATTGTGTACAGATTTCACTTTGTTCGACATGGATTTTGGTTTTGTGGAATCCAAAGGCAAACACTCCTTCACTTCACACCCTTGGATTTGTCTGCTTTGTGCATATACGTTTTTTTCATTTTTTTCCTTACTGTAACATCAACACCTGGTCTGAATATCATGGTTCAAGAGCAGGGAAAACCAAATGTTTCCTGTGAACAGGACTGGTTGGGGAATGTAGTTTCAGCTGCTTGCTTTCTCCTTTAGAGTGTTCCTAGCAAAATTCAATGGATTCTCTGAAGCCACACTATATTAAGAAGGAGCCTGCCATCCTGCTGGAGGCTGCCTCTGCCCTCCCAGCCGGCAGAGGCTCTTTACCCAGGCTACAGAAAATGAGTCATTGCACCCAAGGGGGCAGGGACAGGGCACGGACACCACAGATAACCAAGGTACTTCTTCCCAGTGGTCAGCTTGAAACACACGCAAACAACAACAGAAGATGTACTAAGAGTGAAAGAGAAAATACTGTGAGAACAGCCCCCAGGCTGCCCAGGCCCCGGCTCGGGCAGTCTGTGTGTTCAGAGGGACAGGGAGACATGTTCCCAGCCATGTCCCTGCGGGCACAGACCAGGGCAAAGAGGTGCAGAAAGGGCACTCGGTGCCCACAGGTTGGAGTCGGGGCCTCCTCTCAGGGCGGTGCGGCCACTCCTGGCTCAGGCAGCCACGTTTATACAGGCTTACACAGGCCACCTGCCTAAGAGCCACTGATTTCCCTTGTGCAGAGGAGAACTCTTGCCTGCCTGCTGCTTCTTGGTGGCTTGTTTGTAAAGGAAAACTGAAGGGAAGGCAGTGTAATCTCCACACCCACAGCAGCCCACAGCCAGCAAGGCTGCTGGAAGGGCCCTGAGGCGGGGTGAGGCAGTGCACTGACCTCTCCCTGGGACTGAGAGGACACAAGCTCCCACCAAACCTCCAAACCTGCCCGACAGCCTGCACCCGCCTGAGGAGTGAGCCCCCGGCTCTATAGAACACTGGCAGTCACAGGCGACAACCCCAAGCCTGTCTCTGGGCCTTCAGGGTCAAGACAGTTGCCTCTCCTACACAAAGAAACAGCGAAATTCTCTTAAGACTAACCCCCAGAGCATGAATCCTCTACCTCATCAGAATCATCTTGGGGAAGTCCCAGCCCTTCCTTGGGGGCTTAGACTCATGCCTATGCCCCAGGCAGGTTGGTGAGCCAGGACTGGTCAAGGAGGAGGAGCGGTGGGGTGGGGTGTGAGGAATGGGTCACAGAACCTACTTCTCAGCTATGCACAACTCTGTGCTTTCCTGGGGGAAGGCGTCCACACCCCAAACTGGACCTGGAGAGGCAGGAAAACAGAGGAGAGGAGAGGAGAAACAAACAAAAAGAACAAAGTGGCTACACCACTTCCTCCACAGTCCCGTAATGCTTCTCTCGTGGCTCTCCCTACCCTGCACCTTTGCGGGGTCCAGGCAGGCTCTGCTCTAGCTGGGGGAGCCGCAGTTCTGGGAGCTGGACGAGTCCTGCTCGTTGATGGTGTTCAGCAGCAGGCACGCAGGTGGCCGAGGCAGGAGCATGCGACCCGGCTCTGGGGACTGCTCTTCGGAGGGCTGGCAGAGCCCTTCCTCCTCGTCGGCAGGAGGCCGCACGTGGCAGCTGTCGCAGAAGTCCAGGGACCCGTCCAGAGCGTCGTCGATGAGCGTGCTGAACTCCTTGAGGTCGTCGTCGTGGTGGCCCCGGCTGCACACACACACCTCGATGCCAGAGTCCCCGGTGAAGCGGCGATGTCTGCCGGCCGTCTTGTCCTTGCTGCCGCGCTCCGAGCTGTAGTCCCCCAGCAGCTCCTCCTTGCACTCCGAATCCCTGTCTGGGAAGGCCGCCAGATCCAGCTCCCCCAGGCCGGCCTCGGAGCCACTGGGCTCCACGCCAGGGACTTTGGTGGCTGGTCGGTCAGCGGGCATGTCAGAGGGCTCAGGGTCGGCGACGCTGGGGGGTCTTGTGGCGCTTCTGCTGGGCCCGGATGTGGGGCTGCTCTGCGCCCCAGGGCAGGGGGAGCCCCTGGGGGGATCGGGGCCACACTGAGGAGGCAGCTGGGGCTGCTGTAGCTGGAAGGCACTGTATGGCGGGGGAGGAGTTGGAGGCCGGCTGACCACTTCCTCATAAGGAGGTAGTAAGTAGTTTGGCAAAAACCCTAAAATGGGAGGTGGGGGAGAAATTACTGCCCTGGCCAGCGTCCCAGGACAGGCTGCAGAGTTCACAATAAGCACACACTGTCCCTTCCCACCCTGCAGGACAGCCACCAGGCGTGGCCACAGGTTTTGGCCAGGAGAGGTTGTGGGCAGGAGAGGGCTTTGAGCAACTGTGTGGGGAGAGAGCCCAGTCTGGAGGTGATCTAAGCTAGTGGGACACCCAAGAACCCCTCATCCTGCTTCACAGCAAGGACTCCCTGCTACCCAGGGCTACGGCACAAGGTCAGGCAAGTGTGCTGGGTGGACAAGAGGTAACTGCTCACGGTGGACCTGTGTCCACAGGCGCACGGGTGGTCTCGTGTTTCTCGCTCGACTGAGTCTCGTCTCACCTTCGGGCCTTACAGTCAGGGACCCTAGCTTAAGGCTTCTTGACCACCACCCCCTCCTCCAGATGCACCCCACCTTGGGCCTTTCCCTGGGAGGCTAGAAATCTGTGTTCTCTTGCTCTAGTGTGGCTGGGGTGGTCTGGAAGACAAATGAGCTTCAACTCAACTCAGATCAAGAGCAGATGGGAAGATTGGCAAAGAAGATGCCTCTCTCATCCAAGGCCATGAAACCTGCCAGGCGAATCACCAGAGGCACAGTCATCTTGTTATAACAGTAACTACTGGCATTTATCAAGCACTTATTATATGCCAGGTACTGTGCTAAGCAACTGACCCTTTTATTCTGCAGAACACACTGCAGAAATGCTTGGGATAAACTGCCCAGCTGGGCCTTGAGAGCCACTCGAGGCCATGGGTAAAGAGCCCCGGAGGTCTGGTCTGGGGGATGCTCTTCAGGGAGGCCCCGAGCTGCCTGGTTCTCAGGAAGTCCTCCCACCCCTACCCCCAGCCCCTTTCCGGGCCACCTCTACTAGGCCTGTCACGTTCCAGCACGCAAACGGGAAGAATTCGCGCCACGGAGCTCCGACCTCAGCTCACTCATAGGCCGTGCCCCACTCAACTGTCTGCCCTAAAAAGAAACACAAACTTGCTAACAGGGCCAGAACTCGGCCACTGTGAGCCTGGGAACTGCCCTGTGCCTGGACTTCCGGACATCCGCTCTGTGGGGAAAGGGGGCCACACCCCCGTGCCAGAGGGGCTGCACCCCAGGGGCAGGGTGTGGTGGCTTTCTGTACGTACTGAAATAAAACGGCAGTGCTGAGAAGTTGTGGGCTTCCCGGTAGGCGATCAGGTTGATTTCCCGCTGGCGCTGCTGGGCCTGAAGGCGGTGCTTGGCTCGGCGGTGGTGGCAGACGCAGCAGCAGCTCAGGATGATGATGATGGTCCACACGAGCCAGAACCCTGAGGGGCAGGACAGAGGTGGGTGCGTGAGCACCGGCTGCAGCGGGCAGCGCACCACCGAGGCAGCCACACTGCTGGGCCTCACCAGGTCCTGCCGGTTAAGCTGTCTGTTCCCGAAGGGACAGAGCAACAGGTGCCGAGTGCCAGGCGGCAGGGCAGGGAGGACCGGACAGCAGATGGTCATCCCAGTGCCCGCTGTGGCCATCTTTGAGGAGGGCAGTGTCCTCCTCTCTCGAGACCTCGCAGAAAATGCTGAACTTGCCGGGGCCTGTCTCCCCCTCTTCAGGGCTCAGATTAGCAACTGCAAGGGGCTTCAGACGTGCCCTAATAAAGGAAGGCCAGGGCTCTTTGTTACCCATGCTTCCGAAGTACAGGCAGGGTTGAAGCCGGAGGCTAAAATTCTAACCGCCTCAGGCCCACCTCCTCCCTAGGGCCTCTAATCCTGCTCAGTCGCCTCCCTCTGCCAGTCCACTCCCAGCCTGCGGCAGGCTCAGGGCTCCGCCTCGCCTGGAGAAGCCTGCCTCCTCCTCCTCCCTGCTCTGGGGAGGGAAAAGAGCACAAGGCCCAGAGCCCTCACGTTTCCCACATTTTGCCTCAGCAAACCCTAATATAAGAGCCCCTCCCCAATTTCCAAATGTACACCGAAAAGGCTTTTAAATATTTATAAGATTAATGAACAATTTTGCTCAAAAATTGAGCATGCACACACACACATGGAAAAAACAAAAACACATCTTTAAGTGGTGGGATTATGAGAAATTTAAACTTTCTTCTCTCAGATTATGAAACGAGGGCCGGGGATTTAGCTCAGTGGTTTCGCCGCCTGCTGTGCAAGGACTTGAGTTCAATCCCCGGTACCAAAAAAAAAAAAAAAGTATGAAACTAGAAACAACTTAGATTTAAAAGGTATCTGTGACTAATTTTATCTTTACTGCCTTTTATTTTTTAAATTAATAAATGTATTTCTAAATAGGTTTTAAAAATTCCTCTGGGAGTACAGTCATACAATGAAATAATATGAATCATTTAAAATATGATTCACAGGGCCAGGGATTTAGCTCAGTGGTGCCAGCGCCTGCCTCGAAAGCGCAAGGTCCAGAGTTCAATCCCCAGTACTAAAATAAATAAGTAAGTAAATAAATAAATTAATTAAAATACGATTCATAGAATCATTTTTAGAATCCACTGAGCTAAATCCCTGGCCCTAGAATCTTATTTTTTACCCATCAGAGTTTCTGGTATTAAATGAAAAAGGCAGATTATGAAACAGTATGAACCTATTATTTTCTTTTTTTTTTTTTTGGTACTGGGGATTGAACTCGGGTCCTTCCGCTTGCGCAGCAGGCGGAAAAACCACTGAGCTAAATCCCTGGCCCTCTTTTTTTTTTTTTGAATCTATTATTTTCTACATGGCTTTTGATACTCATTGATTTAATTTTAACAAGACAAGGAAGTCATAGATACAGAATGATTATAAATTTAAATTAAAATATGATATGCAATCTCATATGGCAAACCTCCATGTACTTTTTAAACTGCTATAGATTTAGTTTTAATTGACATATACCTATATATATATTTTTTGACATATATATTTTTTATTTTTTTATTTTTTATTTATTTGGTACTAGGGATCAAACTCTGGTCCTTGCACTTTCGAGGCAGGCGGTGAAATCACTGAGCTAAATCCCGGGCTAATTGACACATAATATGATCTAATTTTTACTTTAAATATAGGACTCTTGGAGATGGAGTTGCACACCTGTAATCCCAGCACTTTGGAGGCTGAGGCAGGAGGATCACAAGTTTGAGACATGTCTGAACTACATAGCAAGATCCTGTCTCAACTCCCGAGATCCCCAGCCAGGCATGATGGCTCATGCCTGTAATCTCAACACTCTGGAAGGCTGAGGCAGGACTGAAAGTTCAAGCCCAGCCCGAGCAACTTAGCAAGACCCTGTCTCAAAATAAAAGTTAATAAAGAGGCTGTGGATGTAGCTCAGTGCAAAGGCTCTGGATTCAATCGCCAGGACCATAAAACAAAAAGAACAGTGGATGCTGAGTGACAGGGCTCAGTGACAAAGCACAGCCTAGCATGTGTGAGGCCCTGGGTTCGATGCCCAGCACCACAAATATGAAGCACAAATGAACAGAAAGAAAAGCGCGGCTGGCAAGGAATCTGGAGGTTATTCTGGACGAAAGGACACGGTATGTTCTGGAACCAGTGCTTTCACTTTTTGCTCAGCTGTATTTTTAATTTTTCTAAGATGAACATGTACTTCCCGCCCCCTAATTGAACCCAGGACGTTCACACTGAGCTATGTATCTACCTCTGGCCCTCTTTAAATTTTTTTACTTCGAGACAAGGTGCTGGGATTTCAGGTGTGTGCCACTATGCCCAGCTGAAGTATGTCCTTCTTCAGAGTAGCAAGAATACTTTCTTCATCATAAAAAATGTATCTAAAGAAGTTAGGAGGGGTGGGGCGCTCTGGCAGGCCGGGCCGGGAGACACAGATTTGAGCCCAGCTGGGCAATTTAGGACTGAGTGAGAGCCTGTCAATGTCCAGTACCAAGTAGAAAAAATGCTGCCCTCTCCCCAGATACCTGCAAATGCATAAACCCGCATTTTCCTCCTGTGTGTACAGGAAGTGCTCCACAAGCCCTCTGCCGCACTGGTGATGTGTCTGTCCCGGGCGCGCGAGGAGCCCTGAGCCTGGGGTCTGACCCCGCCGGCCGCCCCGCCCGCCGTGTGACGCTCGGGCCGGGCGGGAACAGAGGCGGTCACGAGGACGGAGCAGATTGGCTGCTGACACAGGCCTCGCATCGTCTCTGCTCCCGGAGTTCAGCGGCTGAACTCCGGGAGGACCGGAAGGAGCACAGTGCTCTCCGCGTAGGAGCCCGGCGGGCGCTGGGGTACGAGGCTCGAGGCTCGGCTAGGCACCCACGGCTCCATGCAGCTGACACTCGGCCTCGCCTCTCCGGCCCGCACACGGCATCGGCCTCGTCTCTGCACAGTTCTGAGAGAAGTCTCTCTCTGCGCTGCCCAGGCCGCCTTGCATTCCTGAGTCCAAGTGATCTTCACATCTTAGCTTCCCAAAGCGCGGAGGCTGCAGGCAGCGCCACTATGCCCAGCTCAGCTTTAAAAATGCCTTCCACATTAGATACCTAGCAACTAACTATATTTTTAGCTCCCAAGGCATGTTTTCTGTATTTCTTTACCTAAAGGTAACTAAGCATTATCTCTTCGCCTTCATAACTTTTTTTTTTTTTGAGATAAGGTCTCACTGCAGTTTGGTCTGGCCCTGAACTCATTATGTAGCCCAGGCTGGCCTCAAACTTGCAGCAATCCTCCTGCCTCAGCCTCCCAAGCGCTGAGATTACAGGTGTGCACTACCACGCCTGGCGTTAGACTTGGACCTCCTGGCCCCACTTTATGACTGGCTGGAGCTCTGAGACGAGTTCTAATACTGAACTGGGATTGGAAGTGATTTACATCATGTGGAGATCCTCCATCAGTTTTCCTTCTGCCACGGAGACTGGCAGCGCTCTGGATGTCATTTCATTCTGTCTGCTGGGTCCCAAAGGATGCTGAAGTGGGAACAAGCTCCTGTCCAATCTTCACTGGACTAGTGCGAGTGAAACATAAACCTGCTGCTGCCAGCCACAGGGCCTTGGGCTGTGGAGGTTCCTGCAGCAGAACCTTGCCTGTCATGCCTGGCGGTGTTTACAGGGCTTTTGGGGGAGAGGACTGCAGTGCTCATCAAATGCTTAAAGGAATCTTCAAAAAGGCTGAGATCCAAGGGACTGAGGAGTAAGAGAAAGGGAAGTCTTTTTGCTTTTTAAAAGGACAGTGGAAGGCAACTGGAGTTCAAAATGAGATGAGGGAACACGTACCTTTGGCAAAGTTACCTTTGCCTTTGTCACTTTTTTTTCCCCTTTTCCTTTTTTTTTTGTTTTTATTTTTTGAGACAGGGTCTCACTATATAGTCAAGGCTGGCCTTGAACTCACTATGTAGTCCAGGTTGGCCTTGAACTTGTAACAATCCTCCTGCTCAGCCTCCGGAGTGCTAGGATTACAGGTGGGTGCCAACACACCTGGCATCTCTGTCACATTTTCAGCATAGCACCAGAAAACTTACATGCTTAGCAGAGCACTCTGTGTGAGAGTGTGTGTGTGTGTATTTCAGAACCTCTTATGTGCTAAGCGCACGTTCTATCACTCAGCTGCTTCACCAGCCCTGTCCTACTCATTTGATTTACCATGCACTGCACCAGCCGTGTGGTTTTTGTTTTGTTTTGTTTGGGTTTTTTTTTTTTGGTACCGGGGATCGAACTGGGACCTTGCACTTGCAAGGCAGGCGGCGGAACCACTGAGCTAAATCCCTGGCCCGTGTGCTTTTTTTGGGAGGGAGTAAAATGGTCTAGCGGCACAATGGGCTGTCAGTGTGGGTGCAGAAAAGACACCTCAAAGGCTTGCCCCACCTGGCAGGAAGTGAGACAGAAGGCGTTCTGGTGTGGCCCTCACACTTCCATCCTCTTGGGAGACATGTTAGCTCCCCAGTCCAAGCTGTGCCTCCCAGTCTCCAAAGGGGCAGGACCGACTAGTTCCCATGGGGTTGGGCCGAATTTTAATTTTTTAGCTAAATTTCAGAGACAAGGAATAGTTTAAAAAGTAAATCTAACAGGCTGGGGATTTAGCTCAGTGGTTCTGCCGCTTGCCCCGCAAGCGCAAGGTCCCAAGTTCAATCCCTGGTACCAAAAAAAAGTAAATCTAACAAAAGATACACATGCGGGCCAGGGATTTAGCTCAGAGGTGTTGCCGCCTGCCTTGCAAACACAAGGTCCCAGATCGATCACCAGTACTAAAAACAAAAAACAAAAAAGATACACACGAGAATACAGAGATACTTCTCCTTTGCCCATGAAACACAACCTTCCCAGAGACTACATGCCTCAGGGATAGCTCTGCAAGCTGTGACCTTGCTGTGGGGAGCACCTGTCAGACTAAACAAAATGGGAAGCATGTCTCTAAAACAATCACAGCCCAATGCAGGAACCGACTCACGGGCCCCAGAGTTCATTACAGACTGGGTAAAACACCACCCTCTACCAGCACAGAACTCCCCACGGGGCACCCAAGCACCCTGCAGGCAGCCTTCTACTCCACACCAGGATGGCGGGTGCTGGCTAACCCCTTTTTGTAGCTCGAAGCAGGCCCTGCCACTGCCACTTGGGAAGAGGCCTGAATTTGGAAAATGAAGACTTCAGAGACTGGCCCCTTCCTCTGAAAGGCTAGGAAATGATGAGTAAGCAGACCTGGAAGAGCCAGACCAGGTGGCCTGGGTGCAAATCCCAGCTCACAGGAACCATGTCCTTTAGCTCTGTGACCCTGGCCGTTCTCCACTTCCCTCACCTGTGAAGTGGGGAGAACATCACTGTACAGACCACAGGAGCCACTGAAGTATGCAGCACCCTCGGAACCATCTGATGTACAGTACGTTCCCTACAGTACATACAGTACGTTATGACTACTGCTGTTGTTACAGGCACAGGCACAGATGGGAGGATTTCCTTTAAATTTCCCTTTTAACCTTCCCAAAAATATTCCATAAAAAACATGGGTTTGGAACAAGCCCAAAATCTGCTTCTAGGTTCTGTTCTTGCCAAAATTCACTGGAAAATCGGGCCACCTCCTATTTACTGAGCCTTTGCTACACACAAGGTGCTGCCACCTGATCCTAGCTCCCCTGCTCTGGTCAACCAGACCAGGGAAACCTGAAGCCTGAGTGAAATCCCCCAAGTTACCTCAGGGGCAACTTGAACCTCTCCTGGAAAACCTAGCTCAGTGGGTGGCGAAAGTGCTGGGTGAGGGCCGGGAGGCCCAGCCCTGAGGATAGCCCTGCTGTCCCTCCGCAGGTCTCCTTTGCTCAGAGGCCATGCAAGACCCTCCATGACCCAGACCTGGTGTCCTTCTGGCTGGGCGTGGAGCCCTAAAGAGAGTGGCTGTGGGGCGAGGCTCATCTGCTGCTCAGCTGTAACCAATAGATCAGGCGCTTCGTGTCCAGTCCAGAGAAACAGGCAACACACATGCCTGGCGGGGCTGCTCCTCAGGTAAAGTGGGATGCAGGGATGAACACTTATGCCTGGGACACCCCCATCCACATAAGCGCTCCATTTACCGTTTCCTCTCAAGCAGACCCCATGGTCCTATGCAGTAGCTCTTCCCTGGAGGGCTCTGGCTTATGGGTTCTTCTGCCTGGGAAGCCCTTCCACCCTTCTCCCTGTATCTCAGTCCTACCACCCTTGAAGGCCCACTTCAAAAGCCACCTCATCCATGTAGCCTGCTTGAATCCTGCCCAGCCAAAGCAAACGCCCTTTGCATATTCAGAGCAGAACTCTCTCTCTCTCTCTCTCTCACACACACACACACACGAACTGGCACACATCTTCCCCCCTTACCTCCCATGACTGATTGGACATCTTGTCAGACCTCTCTCTCTGCTATCTCTGCTAGATTACCTTCCTGATGGCCAGGCTTATGTCTCTAGCACAGATGAGGCCTTGCTAGAACTGCAAATTCTCAGGTCTGCCCCCGACCTGTTGCATCAAAACCTTTGGACTGGGGGACAGTCTGGTAGTAGATCAGTTGTCTAGCATGTGCAAGGACCTGAGTTTGATGCCCAGCACTGTAAAACAAAAACAAAAACAAAAACAAACAAACTGGAGTAGGGCCTAGAAATCTGTGCAAGAAATTCATCAAAGTTACTAAGGGTTTGCTGAATGACTAAATGGTAGAATGATGAATTAAAGTACAAATACCAGACAAATGCATGGACATAACAATATTGATGACCAGGTCTTTATAGCCTCAATCACTGCCCTGATAAACTGGGATCTTCAGTTCTGTCTCATGTAGGCCCAGTAATTAATTTAAGTTACAACAGACTGAAAGGGTGCTGGCCAAAGCCCAAGTACAGGGGTGGGTGTGTGTGTGGGTGTGTGTGGGTGTGTGTGACAGTCCTCAAGTCCGCAACACAAAGGGAATCTCAGTTTAGTTGAGGTAAAAGGGTTGGTGGAGGTGGCATTTCTTCCCAAGGCCTTTCCTACAGGCCACTGTCATCATGGAACAGCGATGGCGAACTTTTTAGAGCTTTCAATGCGCACAGACAGCCTGCTGTGGCATGCGTGCCAGAGGTCCCCACCACTGCTGTACCGGCACCTCCGCTGATGAAAACTGCCAAGGATCTTTCGGCAGAAGGTTATTTTTAATCAACCAATCCAAAGCCCCTTGCTTTTGAATTTTTGGCAAAGTTGAGAGGCAATAAAGAGAACATGGTGTAAGCCCAGGATTTAGCTCAGTGGTTCCACTGCCTGCCTCACAAGGGCAAGGTCCTGAGTTCGATCCCCAGTACCAAAAAAAAAAAAAGACAGAACATGGTTTAAACAGCAAAAAGTACAGTTTTGCCAAGAACTTCATGGTTCCTTCCAATACCCAACTTCCCTTCTATATGTTTCCGGCAGAGCCCAGGCCATGAACAAGGAGGACAGTCAAAGCAGCGCCCGAGAGAGACAGAAGAGACAGCAGGCGTCACCAGACCAAGAAGCTGCTGCTGGACACAAGTGACAGGAACGTTTTGCTTTTGGTCTCCGTCCCTCTGAAACTTGGCAATCACAAGGTCACTCACTGGACAGGGAATCTTGTCTCTGTCTGGCCGCCTTCTCTCTCCAGGCAACCATTACTGGAGAGAGAATGCGCCAGCTCATCCTTGAACTTTCTGTAAGCCCTTGGAGTGCAGCACCTACTTCCCAGACAGCCTCCCTGCCATCTGGGCCTCCCTGTCCCACCCCTCCACTCCCTCCTGGCCTGGGCTTTGGTGACCCAATTCCGGTGACAAGGAGCAGAGCAGAAGGCCCTGTCAATCTGGGACTGGGCCATCAACAACTCCATTCCTTTCAGCTACAGACGCCACCCCGGCCAGGCACCAGAAAAACAAACTAGCTCTGTGCCTATGGGCAGACTTTTAACAAGGGGTGTGGGGGGTTATCTGCATTCTGAAACATTTAAACAGTCCACCTGCTTGGCACCTGGTGCTCTCTGGTCTGTTTCTCAGTCCCGCCTCTTCTAAAATAGCCACAGTTGTGTGGCTGCCTCTGCCTCGGCATGTGGACGCGGAAGCCTGGTGGGGATGCGGGGCCCTGCCCCTCGGCACTAAGCTGCCCTGGAAGTCCTCGGTCCTCGGTCCTGGAAAGGGACAGGTGAGGGTCCGTCTGGAGGACCCACCCTGCTGGCCGTCAGAGGAGAGGCTTCCCGGCCAAGTCCACTTCCCTGCCAGAACAAACAGTGCCAGCTGCTTTCCTAGCACATCAGTGATGTGACGGAATGGGGAAGGGGAAGGGCAGCAGGGAGGATGGGCCCAGGGCACAGTCTAACAGAGGACCTCAAGTTCATCCCCACGAGAGGCAGGGATGGGGCTCAGGATCATCCAGGGCCACGGTCTGCGGTTTGCTCCTGCACGAGACTCGGGAACCACAGTGCCAGTTCACTGGGGCCGCTCCCCCGAGGCAGGCACCCTCACTCTGCCACCCCTGGCTGCAGCCAGAGAGGCTCATCTGAGCCCTAGGACAATCAAGAGCACAGAGTACATCAGCCACCCTGGGTGACTCCCTGAAGGCCACTGTCGAGAGGCTGTGGAAATGCATGAGGGCGGCCCAAGCCTTGGTGAGTCAGTGGGAGGGAGGACCGTCTCCTCCAGCACGCAGCTGGCAGCACAGGCCGGATGCACCAGAGAAGCCCCAGATGCCTCCATTGAGACTGAGGGAAGAAGTGAGGGCTGAGGCGCAAGACAGCCTCTCTGCAGAAGTGCACAGGAGAGACGGGGGAGACCGCTGTGAGGGCCCAGGAAGAGGCAGCTCCATGGGGCTCTAACGTGGACCCCGGAAGGCCCCTGGCTCCCACAGTAAAGTGGCACACTCAGCATGTAAAGCCTGGCCCAGCGCCCACAGTGGTGTGGCGGCAGGAGGGAGAAGCCTGGGCTTCAGGCTGGCACTGAGGAGAACCCCAGGGCTGGGAAGGTAGCTCAGGGCAGAGTGCTTGCCTATGTTCCAGGCCTTGGGGTTGGTCTCTAGCACTGCAAAGAAGAGGACGAAGAGGAAGAACCCAGGCAGGAGCACTGGCAGCAACCATGGCCTCAAGAGAGGCGCAGGCTTCGTCCCCTAGTCCTCAGCCCACAGCGGCCTAGCCCTGCTCCTCTCCAAAGGAGTCGCTTTTGGGGCCTAGAACCGGAGAGCTCTCCAACACCACCCCCGAGGGGAAGAGCAGAGGGGCCCAGAGCCCTGGGAAGGCACTTACACCAGAGTTCATAGTAGTAGTTGCAGCACTGAGACTGTCCACAGCAGTGTCCTGTGTCACAGATGTAGCTCTGATTGTTGGTACCCACACAAGCTTCCTTCTCCTAAAAAGACAAGAAGCATTTTAGCATATTAAACTAGAGCTTTGAAAACACTGATCTTGCCAGGTACAGTGGTGCACATTTGTAATCCCAGCTCCTGGAAGGCTGAGGCAAGAGGACAGCTGTGAGTTCAAGGGCGGCCTCAACTACATAACAAGACCCTGTTCTCAATCAATCGATCAATCACCAATTTTCTTCACACACCCCCACTCCTGGTCAACTGCCCGTCCATCCACAAAGCTGTGGCCATTTCCTTATTTCATTAAGGAAAAAAGTTTAAAAGAACCATACAACACACTCTGGGAGGAGGAAACAGGAGGATCCCAAGCTCCGGCCAGCATGGTCAACTTGCCAACTTACAACTCGGCACGACCTTATCTCAAAATAGAAGATAAAAAAGGGCTGGGGCTGTAGCTCAGTGCAACGCCCCTAGGTTCAATCCCTAGTGCCACAAAACAACAGCACAGTTTAGGTTTTATTGGGGAGTGTGGCCACCATGTCCCCAGCTGGTAAAGGGTGAGTCCCTCAGACGGGACAGGAAAGGGCTGCTTCCCTCTCTTTACATCCAAGTAGAAATATTTCATGCTCTGGTATTAAACTCAGCTGGTAGGAAGGGATGATTCTCCTGGAATTGGCACTGTTTTAAATAAAAGTAGTCTTCTGTGAAACTTCCTGGAATAATTATTGCATCAGGGACTCCAGGATTAGCATCCAGTCAGTCACTTCATTCTCTTCAAAACACACGCTCTCCAGGGTTATTTATAGTGAGATTCAAAAGAGGGATCTAAGCCTGCTCCCCAAATTCTTTACTCTTCAGAAGAAAGCAGCTTGGTTAGGTGATCTGGTCTGATTTCAACTTGCTAGACCACTTTTTCTTATTGGACCCAGGATTCATACTGTCCCTTGTCAGGTACAGCTACATAAAGGGCACTGCTGAGTAACCATCTAGCAGTTTGCCAAGTTCTATTCATAGCACTGCTGGATGGGGATGCAGGTGGACAGTTTTTAAAAATATATTTCAAGGGGCTGGGGATTTAGCTCAGTGGTTCCAGTGCCTGCCTCGCAAGTGCAAGGTCCCAAATTCAATCCCTGGCACCAAAAAACAAACAAAGAAACAAAATATATTTCACATTGAAGGTGCGAAATACGATCCCAGCCACTCTAACCTCAGCCCAGTGTGTACTCTGGGGTGCATCACGCATATGAAGGATGAAGGCTGAAGTCATCTGCTGTATCTGGCTTCCTAAACTGCTCTGTTCCTAGACTCAGTCTTTGTGCCAAGCACTGTGTTGGGGAGAAGGGACACAAACTGAAGAAACCATTGTCCCTATCTTCAGGAAGCTCAGCGTTAAGAAAGAAAACCCTGCGCAGCAAAAATGCAAACCACAGGATTGTACGTTCGGCTGTTCGGGCTGACCCTGCCCTGGTGCATTTCCGGGCAGCAGCTACCAGTGGAAACCTGCGTCACACGCCTGGGCCCTCCTCTCTGAGCCTGGCTTCACTGTGCTGTCTACTTGGCCCCAGTATAAACAGCCACTCCAGCAACAGTGACAGTGTGCAGGGCTGGAGGCCCCTGAAGCCCCCTGGAGAAGACAGGAGAAAGGGCAGGGCTGAGCATGATCTCCAGCTTACCCCAGGATCCCTGCACACACCCTGAGGTGTCTCTTGGTCTTTAAAAGCATTACCTCCAGGTAAAAAGGAGTTTAGGGTGAAGGAAACACTATTCCTCTATTTGTAAACTCTGACAATGAGGGTTTCACACAGCGCAATACAGGTTTTCTGTACATTTGCCTTCCCTAGCCCACCAAAAACAGACACCCAGCAGGTGGCTGTCCAGGTGGAGGCCTCTTCCAAGGCCTGGGACAAAACAGCTGTGCTTGGTGCTTTGGCTGGAAGCAAGACACTCCTTTCATATGGACACCAAAGTGTCAGGCCAGCTTACCAGCCCCATAAATGCCACTTTTTGTCCCCAGCCCAGCACTATGTTTTAAATAAAACTAGCTCTTCTGTGAAACTTCCTGGAATAATTAATGCACCAGGGACTCCAAGATTAGCATCCAGTCAGTCACTGGATCCACTCAGGGTCCACACAGTTTCTGAAGGAGGCCGAGCTGCCTGTACCCCAGCACATGAAAGAATCCAGTGACCCTTGCTGAGGAAAAGTCCCCAGATGAGGCCAGGGTGGTCGGTGGTCCCTCGAGGCATGGGAGGCATGCAAATGAGCAAGCTGGATGTAAACCAGCAGCATCCACAGAATTGCGGGGCTCAGCTTTTCTCTCACTTCTCCTAGGCCTGGGGCAGAGGCCTAGACTCTGCCCTTGCCCAGGGAGAGCAAAACCAGCATGACGCCATTTAATCCTGCCCCTCCGTGCTCTTTACCCAGGCGGTCTGGCTCCCCACGGCCCTCCCTCTCCACCAAACAGTCACCGAGCTGCCTGACTGGAGGAGGGAGGACCTGTCCTCTTCTGCCATGGGGGGGGGGAGAAGGCAGGCAGACTGCACAAGGACGAGGCTCAAGGGCCACAAGAGGCAGAAGTGACAGGCAAATTGGGGGTGCGAGGTAGGAGTGTGCGTGACCCGCTGGCACGAGCAGAGCCTGGCAGCTGTAGCAGAGCAGAGGAATGGGACTTCGGGCAGGTCACTCGACGGCCCTGGGCTAGTGAGGATGACTCTAACTCGCCCATCCTAAGGCTTGTGCGTGCACCTGCTAAGTTCAGGCTCCATCTACCCCGTGCTCCCGCCCTACCCCTCCCTCTCCTGTCTCCAACAGAGCACCTCAGGCCAGCAGAAGCTTCCGAAACCTATGCCGCCCTCTCTCAGCAACAGCAAGGGCCATAGTCAAAATGGTGCCCCACTCGTCTGCCCTTCCCTGTATGAGAAGCCTAAATGGGGACCCTGCAGAAGACTCACAGAGACGTGAAGGCAGCTCAGAACCACATGGCTTGAGTGGTTAAGTCAGCCAATCAGGGCACAAAGCCAGCTCTCATTCCAGGCTTATTAGCTGTGTGGCCTGGGTAAGGTACCGAGCATCTCTGACTCCCACTGTCACTCTCAGTCAGTGAGCCACATTGCCAGGCACGGCAGGTCACCCAGAGCACACTCTGCCTTCACTTAGCATTATCTCGGGACAGTAAAGCTCACTGTGGCAATGAGGGCTGCTCCGGGCACATTAAGGACGGAAAAGGAACTGGAGGGAATGCAAGAGAGGCAAAGATGAAAAATTCCTCGTGCTCTTTATGATCACCTGAGCTTCTCCCCAAAGCCTGAGCATGCTACACACACTGCGCCCTGAAGAGTGGGCTCTGGGTGTCCCTCCCACCCTGCCTTTCTCCAGTGCGTGAATCGCAGAATGAACTGTGACCTCCCTGCAGGCAGGAGTGATGAGCACATTCGGGGAGAGGCTATGCTGAGCAGCCCTCGTGAAGGTCAGCTCTGTGTATCCAGCACGTGCTGGGTGCGGGCACTGCTCGAATCGCCTTCCAGGTCATTTTTCATGAAACTTGACAGCTACGCTGCGAAGTGGGAAGAAACAAGGACTCGGGGCCCAGAGAGGCCAACAGACATGGCCAGTGTCACAGCTGGAAGGCAATCCATCCAGACTGAGCTTTTGGTCACTAAGCTCAGCCTCCTTGGGTACTCAGTTACCCATGCAGTTGCCTTCCACATTTGGGTGCTTAAATAAAACCCCCAGCCAAACAAAACCCACATTCACTGCTGATGGAAAGATCCGGGCTGGCCTGGAGACTCCAGACCTGGGGACACTGCGCCTCACTTTCTATTCAGCACTGAGGGCCAGTGTGCTCAGGACTGCTCCATCCTGGCGCAAATGCTCCCATTTTCACACTGCTCTTCTGAGGAGCAGGCTGGCGCCTCAGCCAGATGGCCACAGGACCTGCACCCTCCTCTCAGCACTGACCGAGCGCCGACTGGACACCACACTGAGCACGAGCTAAGAGTCGTGTCGCTGGTCCCACACAGCCGCGGTCTAATGAAAGAGGATGAAACGATCACCCAGTAACCACAACTGAGCTCATAACAGGTAAGACTAGCAGTTAATTAGCCAAAGGGTCCCAAACTGGCTTCTGGGAGAGAGGTGAAGAAGGCCAGCAAGTAGCAAAGAGGGATGGAGCAAACAGTCCAGGGAGGGGAAATGGTACAACAGAGCTTTGGCTACAAGGAGGCAGGGACGTCAGGTAAGGGAGACCAGACTGCAGCAGGTAACAAGACTGGATCTGCATTTTTTTTTTTTTGGTACTGGGGATGGAGCTCAGGACCTTGTGCTTGTGAGGCAGGCAGCAGAACCACTGAGCTAAATCCCCGGACCTGGATCTGCATTTTAAAGGTATCTTCTTCTGGCAATGTTTTCATTTGCACAAACAAGGCTTAAACTTTTGGGAGGCGGGGTGAAACAGGGTCTTGCTATGTAGTTCAGGCTGGCCTTAAACTCAGGTTGATCCTCCTGCCTCAGCCTCCTGAGTGCTAGGATTACAGGCCTGTGCCACCACTCCCAGCTAAACTTTTAAAAAAGATGCTAAAAACATAGAACCTGTCAAAAGAGGAATTTTGTGTTTAAAAAAAAAAAGGGGGCCGGGGATGTAGCTCAGTGGTGCCCCCGCCTGCCTCGAAAGCACAAGATCCTGAGTTTGATCCCCAGTACCAAAAAAAAAAAAAAAATACCAGCAGCACAGCCACGCACAGTGATGCCTGCCTGTCATCTCAGCACTCTAGGAAGCTGAGGCAGGAGGATCCAAGGTCAAATCCAGCCTGGCGAGTCAGAGACTCAGTGAGAACCTATTCAAAATAGAAAATAAAAAGATTCAGGGATGTAGTTCAGTGCGAAGGCCCTGGGTTCAATCTCCAGTAACACACTCACGCACATGCACACCAGCACAAAAGAAAGAAGCCCAACGCCAAACTGGAAAGAACATTTCTGGTATGGTTGAACAATGTGCCTTTTGCACATATGCAAAAAATTATCCCATCTCTTTGGTGGCAGCATCAGC